CAGAGGAGGCAATTTCTTTATGTCTTTCGAAACATCAATAGTAATTTCCTGTGAGAAGAAAACAAATAAACTCAAGCTTGCAAATTTGCAAACAAAACCACTTCACTGCGAGTTGTCAAAATTGATGCGAAGGCTTATAAAATAATCGAGGAACATTAAACCAACATTTCCGTCATCAAGTTCAATATCCAAGATTCCATCTGTGTTCAAATCTTTGGTTACTTCTCCACCGATCCATACCACTTGACTGTGCGGAATCCACACTCTGGCACCCTGAAAATACAAGAAACGCCGGCGGTGTTCACTTCACGAAGTCTGCACCAGGCACTCGAGTTCAACAAAACAACAATCACGAAAACTCAAATGGCACCTTAGTGTAGAGTTCCAGCGTTGTCATTTTTACACGTTATAAATCCTATATATCCATTTATGATGTCAAAATGTACATTGAACATCATGCACAAACTTTAAGCCGTGAAATGGCGGTTCAAAATGTTAAAGAATTCGCGTCCAACGCCGCCATTTGGAGTGATGGCAGCTTTCAAAAACCGCTGACCAACTTTACTTTTGACACGAGTGGCCACACGAAACGCGCGAGGGACGCGTGGGGGAAAGAATGGGTCGGTGTCTTTTTATCATGTTTATAACGGACTTTTAGTTTTATTTTAATTTTTCTTTTGGCCCCTGAAGAAGGTTTGTTTTCAAACCCAAATATTGAGTAAATTTGTTTAAATATATATGTTTGTTTTATTCTTTTCTACACGTTGTTATTGTACTGATCCAGGTCGACAACTGGGAGATCAGGCACCTCTCATTGGTTTGTCGCTGTGGACTTGCTAATTTTTTTATATATTTTGGAGTCTTTTTATAGGGCGTTTAGAACTGTCTGGCCAGGCAAGTCCATTTGTAAGGAGAATTCCACTATTAATCAGGACTATCCAGCCTGATGTTTACTCCTAAATGACATGCACAGCAGCGATGGGTTTTAGTAAAATTTCGAGAAAAAAAAAACTGATATTTCATTTTCAAAATGACCAGTCTGGCCGCGCGCCGCAGTGTTCAGCCAGAAGAACGGGAAATTATATACTTTTTAATTTGCCTTTTTAAGCACTGACTCATGATGAGGGGCCCGTTTCTCCAAAAGTCCCGGTAGCTTTCAGGGCCCGAAAAGCTGTTTTATGTTTGTCGAGTTTGTATTCTCGATCAAAGTTTCAATAATTTTGAAAATACTACAATGTAAGCAGCAGTTAACGAAGCAAAATTGAGTGGTTTGTGACTAGGAAATGTGCAACTTTTGAACAAGTTTTGAGATTAAAATTTGCCTTCGGGCCCGAAAAGTTATTTTACCGGGCCTTTCGAGAAACGGGTCCCCTAGTCTGCTCACTATGCCATTAATAATAATGACAGAAGTTCTGAGAAGACTTTTTGTTTTAGAATTTATCGCCAGTCTGTTTTTTTATTTTTATTATTATTATTTTTTCTCATCTACTGAGCTCCATGAAGTAAATAATTATATTACGATACCAATTTAAGCACTGAAGCACACGTATCAACTCCGCTGTATGGCCCGGTACCTTATTTCGTCCTCATTAGGACAAATCCGGTATGGCATAGCCCCAGGCGAAAAGTCTCACTCTGTTTTTTTTTTTTTTGCTAAGAGAAGAGGCGACTGTCCTTCCCATTTATTTTCATTTCTTATGGGCAATTGATGTTACAAATATTATTGGTATGAGAACTAACTGATGAACAAATTACTAGGATGTTACAAAGTAAGGGAAGAAAAGACCAATGTAAAAGGACCAAGTTTACAGCAAATGCACTACTGTAGATGGTTACCACTGGGCGAACATAATACATCATTGCGGGCCGAAGTCTGGGAGAAGGCATCTAAGTCTTTATAATTATAAGAATAACGAAAATGTTCAATGTTCAAACGCTCTTTGATAATTTAGACGTGAGTAATTCTGTAGATTGACAGTTCGACTTTCATGGAGCTGTATATTGCGGACAGTTTATATAGTATAAGTTGTACCATGACTTCTAAACTAAGAGTAAAGGGGGAGCCTTTAATGATACGTGAAATGAAAGACTCAAATTGACGTAATAAGGGTTGAATGGTTTCACATTTGAAAAAAAAAAAGATGCGTTATTGTGTTATGTCTCACGTTTATTGTGCGGGCAGAGCGAGTATTAGAAGGTCGGACTAAGATTAAGCATTAAAGAGACCTGCGGCAAGGGGAAACGCGCAGCATGTAAGAGATGAACAAAAGCTCCTTAGGTTAAAGCGCCATTAAAATATAAAACAAGTATTATATAGAGCCAAATATTTAATCGTCAAAAGATTGAGATACCCTGGCTTTCCATGACAACAGCCCTAATCAGAATCTGATGCGGAATTCAAAAATAAACATGGGCGCAAACCTGAAGCCATTCATAAATATTTGCTGCGACTTAATTATCAACACGAAGAAGACGCTTTGAAAAACCACCTAAAAAGGCAAACAATTAATTAAAACATTCGGTAATTTATTATTAATGAAAATCGATGCAGGTATTAAACACGATTCGACTGGTTAGAAAATTATCCTGCGGCGCGTTAAAATGTACAGCAGAAAAACTAACAACCTCGATGTAACATTCCTGCACTTCATATATTATAACTAGTCTAAGGTATTTTCCTTTACTTAATTTCTAATACCGGAATCATGAGCTGACAGGGTTATCAACTACTAAACTTCTCTTCGGGGTTTTAAAACCCCCCTTTTGCCCGATAATTGGGAAAATATTTCTCAGCAGGTATTAAAGATAATAAGAAGGTAAAATAAGCATATCATTATATTTGCCATTATATTTTTGACGCAAATTCTAATAGTTTTACAAGTGTTGTATGAGAGGCCGTTTTACGATTAACAGAGGCCTAAATACGGTAACCTATTTCCGCCGTTCGGAGCGCAGTGGATTTCATGCTGTTGAGTTGGAGTTTTGGCCCTGGTGTTTTAACTGCCGATGAAAATTGAAACAAACTCCGTGTGAACAGTCTAAGCCGTAAAACGAAAATTCTGCTTACTTCGAACTGTGATTTTCTTGTCGCACTAATAAGTAATTAAATTGTCGGTTGCGAAACTAGTCACTGTAAATACCCGACAACTTGGGCAGATTAGAGAACGCGGAATGAAGTTCGCGCTGCTGTTAGAAATATCATTCTTCACAATTCTTCAAAAAGGTACGTACACCATAATTTTTAAGCGTGTCAGTGTTGTTATAAATAAGCACAGTTAATATTTTAATACATTCACCAAGACGTATGTTTGCTCTCTTGTCTTTCACTCCTTGCAGGTAAAAATGTTACTTTTGCTGGCAAAGCTAAAATGAACATCATTCAAAAGTAAAAATGTCGTACATGTCTTGAATTAAACTGCGCACAAATTCAAATGTTCAACCATTAGCAAATTCTTACTTTTGCGTTGAATTCATGAATACTAAACAACCCTCCTCCCCATTATAAGTCTTTCCTGAAAGACCTAAAACCCTCATTATTAATATACCGTAAAATTTCGAAAATATGCCCCGGGGCTTATATATTTTTCAAAGGCCCTTATTGAGCGGCCTATTTGTGGAGGGGCTTATATTTGGAGGGGCTTCTCTACGGAGGGAAATTTGCGTTTCAAAATCGATTGGGCTAGCCATATAGTTGGAAGTAAATTTACCGTTTTTGCTTTGTTATACTTTTTATTTGAGGGCAATTTTTCAAGTACAAGCTCCCGCGGGTTTCTGTTTGGAGGGGCGATTTAACGGAAGGTTTTTTGCGTTACCGGTTTGGGGGGCTTATATTTGGAGGGGCTTATTTTCGGAATTTTACGGTACCACCAGATTTATATTTTTACGGGCTTATTTAGTATTCAACACCCGCCAAAACTTTGAAATTAAACTGTTAAATGGGTCGGTTGCAAATGCTTTCTCACACCAGCCACACGGATATAACATTTTCTCTTTATAGCCCACCCTCTCCATGACCGAGTCTAACCTTTTAGTGCGGCTGATAACTCGCACAAAATCGGATATAAGCGAGAACCATAATGGTTACTATGACTCTTGATATAAGGCACTGATTCATCAGTTAGAATTGCTTTCCGTCTTCGTTTAAAGGAGCTGTGTGAGGACATTTATGAAAATTCAAACAGCATAGGAACTGTTACCAGATTGAGTTACTAAATAATCACTCAAAACATTAAAATAACAACTGAAAGCAAATAAAAAAGAAGGTACAGATGGCCAAAGTCGAAAAAGATTGAAACGGATTGCAATGGACCGCGATCATTAGCTTGTATGTTTTGTTTTCCCAATACAGGTCATTTGCTAACCCTCTTTAGTAAAATCCAGCTGGTGGTCTATTATCAATGCTGCATTCTGATTGGTTGAGCTACTACTAGACTATATGTTATAGCCCACTAGTAGAGAAAAAAGCGAGTTTTTTGGAAGCAAAAAAGGATTAAATTCTAGCTTTAACTAGCTAAACTTTTTTTTTCTCAATGTTTTTGACCAACTAGTTGGGTTTTCCTAAAACAATTATCCCTCTCGCCCTCATGGCCTCTGAGTCAATAGCCCATTGGGTCTCATGGGCTATTGACTCAGAGCCCATTCGGGCTTGAGGGATAATTGTTAAATAGAACTGTTTCTTTCACATTTCGTGTTATTCGCGTGCATATCTACGCATAATTTATGAGAAACAAAGGGTTCACGTTCCCCAGGGACCTTTATTGGAAAAACAAAACATACGAGCTAAAGAGGTCTATTGTGTGTTTTGAAAACTTGTTTATAGCATTATTAGACAGTTTTTCAAAGCGCACTTTCGTTGTTTGTAACGTTTGGTATAACGCTCACAAGGTGTGTTTTTTTTGGAGAAGAAGCGCTGAAAACTTTTGTCATTTACAAGCAATTTCTTTCATTATCTTTTGCTAGCTTTATCCCTCAGCGAGCCATGACACAACCCCTTTAAATTTATGTATTGTCCTTTCATTTCAGTGTGTGGAGACACTGCTGTTACATGTGGGAGAACGAGAAGAACGGTGTCAAACAAATGCTGCGTGTTCCCCTTTACATACGAAGGAAAACAATACGACACTTGTATATGGGGTGGTCCATCGACTTCTTATTGGTGCGCCACCACGGACAACTTTGATCGAGATGAACAGTGGGATATCTGCAAAGGTATCATCTTGAGAAAGTTTAATCGAAAAAAAAAGTATCAATGTAACGTTTTAACTTTGTCTCTAGTCATTAATGTAAACAGGAAAGTCAAGTTAAATGAGGCTGAGTGAGATCTGAGAGATCGGAAAAATAAACACGCCCCTCTGGGAGATCGATAAAGACGGCGAGCTTTACTTAAAGTAGTATAGGATATACCAAATTATCCTTTTTTCCGTAGGAATCGTATTAGTGAACGCAGGATTTAATCAACGCTGATAGCTTTTGTAACTAGAATCAATCGCAATTGGTTTTTGATGTTTAGCTATGTTCACACCACACTGGATAGACTAAAGTGTGATGCCAGCACGAATTCTATAATGTGTACAGTCACGACACAAAACTGCCTAAAATCGATACGGTACGGAATGTTGTACTTGCATGAATCGTCGCATCGCATTTTATTTCTGGCACAAAAATCGCACCGAGTATTTCGAGAGATGGCGTTTCGCGTATCATAAAAAAAGAATCAGGTCTTGTTCTCGAGAACGCACTAAATCTATGGGACCTGTTTATATGAGATGAGCCAGCCTGGTTAGCCGGGCTGGCCCACTTTACCGGGCTGTCTCGGCTCCTGGGGCCCGTTTCTCGAAAGACCCGGAAACTTTTCGGGCCCGAAGATAAATGTTAAAATCCTAACCTGTTGAATAGGTAGCACAGTTGCTAGCCCACAAACCAGTCAATTTTGCCTCTTTAACTGACAGTTTCATTGAATTATTTTCAAAATTGTTGAAACTTTGATCTTGAATGCGAAGACAACAAACACAAAACAGCTTTCCGGGCCCGAAAGGTTACCGAGACTTTCGAGAAACGGGCCCCTGCCCTCTTTTCTCTTAAAATTGTCATTGTGTTTATATGAGAAGGCGGGTCAGCCTTTCCATGTAAACACAACACAAATTTTATGAGGAAACAATACATGCTTTTATCTATTCCTACCTCTTCATAGCAATTTCTAGCCATCTTAATTCTTATATAGTGACATTTACAGTTGTACATTTTAGTTTTTATGTTAAATCTAGTTGTTGTATATATATAATATATTTTTAATTCTCTAGATTATACGACAATTTTATGTTAGCACGTACGTATTTGGAACGAGCTTTTTAGCTCACTAGACGTTACGTGGATAAATAAACGATTGATTGATTGATTGATTGATTGATTGCTTGATTGATTGATGATCCAAGCCAGCCCTGGCACGGCTAACCGGGTTGCCTTACCTCATATAAACAGGCCCATAGTCTCAGTGTGACCGTGCAGTAGCAGGGTATCCGCGCGCCCACTTGTTGTAGCGTCTGCAGCGAAGGCTAATTAAAGGTAAAAGCAAACCAAAGTATACAGACCTAAAAATACCTGTGTATAACCATATCTTACACTAGAATAAGATAAATTAGTCTCTGGTGTCTTTCACAGGCGTGAAGTGCTACATATGCACTAGTGATGTTTCATGGTCGCACTGCGAGTCTTACCAGCAAGCACACACGTGCCCGCACATATACGACGAATGTCTGAAACTGAGCAAGGAGGAAGAAAACACTTACTCCAGTAAACTGTTCCGTAAAAGATGTACTTCAAACAAGCTATGTACAGCATATAATCCAACATGTGAAGGCCCGGATGTTGTGAAATGCGACTTTAGCTGCTGTATGGGAGACCTGTGCAACTCGGCTTCTTATGCACAAATTGAACTTTTGAGTGTATTGATGGTTTCGGTTTGGTTTTTGTTTTTGTACTCTTGAAATTGCCGTATTAATCTGCGTGGAATGAGAACTATTCTTTGCCATGAAAGAAAAAAAGATCTACCCTTTCTCTTGTAAACAGAGAATGACATTTGCCAAAGTTTTCGACATAGGATAGACACATCACATATAGTACCTTCAAAGGGTTTTTCCAGTTTTTGACAAGGAGTATTAAGCAAAAAAACAAAGAAGAAAGAGCGCCTTACAACAGGTAAACTTGTCACGTTTCAAAGTGATGAATCACTTTCGTCTGTAGAATCTTCAGCTACAACTTTGCGGAACCCCCGCTGGGTGACAGAGACTTTTCATGCGCGGTTTCCATAATATCTTTGGCCGACACCGAAGCATCCCGCCATCCGCGAAAAAAAAAAGACCCTGTGGTATAAAACCAGAGTATGTCTTGAACCATATCCTCTTTAATTTTCAACATATCATTCTCAAACTTGGCACTCTTTTTTATCATACTAAAGCGTTCTTGAACACCGCTGAAATAAAATGAAACTTCTTTGTTGTTGGCTGAGAGATGGTCCACTAAATTTAACAGTTGCACTGGAATGTTCAGTTACTACGATATTCCTTCTTAGACCGACTATCAGCCAATGTTACAAACTTCTCGAAGGGTGTCACTTGCTACAAATACAAAAAAAACATACAACACTTTATTACTATTGTGATAGATTATTGGTGCTTTTAGGAAAGCAAGGAATAAAGTTCACAGAATTGAATATCCTACAATTTTGCCTAATACTTGCTGGTTTTCTCGAGTCGATGGGCATTATTGATCGGGCGTCATCTTCTCCCTCCTCGTACAATAACAGGTTCAGGGTCATGACCAAAGCTTGAATGAAGTCTTCTTTCATCTACTTGACAAGTGACAAAAAAAAGAACATAGAATACACCCAGTCAACCCTCTTAAACATGACAATGCAGTGTTGCAGCACTGGGACTAACCTGCGATCAGGCGTTCTTTTCTTTTCTTTTTCTGGGGAGCGTGAAAGAAGGACCGCCTGATGGCAGGTTATATTGTGACAGGCTCTAAGGACAGGTACAGACGCCGGACTTTTCCCGAAACGCACCCACTTTGAATTAAAGCCGACCCAAATTATTTAGACCAGGTTAATTGATTAAGAAACTGATCTTACTTCCAGCCGAATTGAAATTAAAAGGAGAAAAATGCTCTCTGAGTTAAACTTCTTGCCAAATACTTTATGTTAATTTATGCATTAGGTTCGGCGTATGGAAAGTTTGACTTTTGAATCAAAGTCGTTCCAAAGTTGTAATTCCCGGCCCGGGCAAGGACCATTCCAAAATTGAAATAGGTGTTCCTTATTGATTCAGAAGCCGAACTTTTCCTGTACATAATTCAATTTGTTAGGTTCGGCTCATAAAGAGTTCGGCGTCTAAACTGGGCCTGAGTGACGACCATCTTAGAGCTGAGAGCCGTCCATATTAAAGAGAGTCGAAAAAGATAACTGGAGGGCAGTGAGGACTGACCATAGTCTACATGTGGGTGTTGCTTTTAGGGAGGGGTCCCTCTTAAGATGCTACTTGACTTTTCAAAAATTTTTAATTTTTTTTAAAAGACTGTTATTTCCTGACCTTCCTCTGGCTGTGTCACCCCTGCATTACTACAATCAATGCATCTAGCCTGTATCAGTCACACTAAATAAACCCCATTAGTTTAGCTTTTCTTTTTTTCTAATGCTGGTCACGTGATGTGTACATAATATTATGCAAGTCAACATTAAAAAATGTAAAAGAAAGGAAGTAGTTCTCTAGAATGACAATACATGTGCCACGATTGTAATAGGAGTCCTGACAACCCATCAACCTTTCAAAAAATAAAAGATGCTCTCAGCACAAGCCTTCATAGCAGTCATTTCCTCGGGTGGGAGATCATGGGGTGCAAGAAAGAGTCAAAACTACATATTACACCACCTTCCTTCTTGTGTTTTGGAAAGGAAATCAATGCTAGTATGCAGGTTAAAAAAGCACATCTTCTATGAAAATAAAGAGTAAAGAGTACCTCTGTCCTGGGTGTGCAGCAACCCATCTGGATGTCTTCTCTGTCGCGATTCTGTTAAAAGAAAAAAAAAAACATGAAAAATGGTAAGAAGAAATAATAATATATTTTGAGTGGTATCTATGTTGCAGTGCTTGATGCAAACATAATTATTTACAGATAAAGATCACCTTCGAAAGCAGAAAAATGGAAGCAAATCTTTGATTGAGGGAAGACAGAGAACAATAATGCAGATATGCAACATGAAAATGTGTAATTCATGAGGTGGAAACTACTCTCAAGCAGAAAAACAAGAGGATTTTCTTTTAATATAATCCCAACAAATGTTATGAAGACTTTTCTTCTTTGGGAGGGGTATTTGATTATTATATTGGTACCCCACTGCCCAAGGTACTCCAGGCTCTATGGGAGGTATTACATATAGGGTACATGTACATTCCTTTGAGATGATCCAGATCAGGATCAGTAATCCAGGATCACTAGGATCAACCGATCCTGATCATCGAGGGTTGTCACTAAGATTTCAAGTTGTTGGGTAAATACAACAAGTAGGCAGGGAATCAAACAGCTAGGAGTTTCTTTTGCTTCTACTTTTCTTCCTTTTTCCAATGAAAGTAGCCAGGGACCACATTCATAGTAGCTGGGGGAAATCCCCAGCCCCCAGCTCTTAATGACAGCCCTGATCATCCAAATGGAATGCACCTATAGACTATATTTACTGTTTGTTCACTGTTGTACAAGTGCAGGAGAGAATCATGGGACAGAGAGGAAATCTTAGGGCATTGGCTGCAATATGTGAATGGGACGTTTGCATCAAGTTATGTTGACTCCTGATCAAAAGCAAAAAATGTGGACTATTGTAATGGCGACTATTGAATTCTCTCTTGACAACACTGAATAAAACTTTGCAGATCCCTCCGAAAACCAACTTCCAATTAATTTAAGTGTTTAATTGGTCTAAAAAGACTTTTGTGAAATGCGCATATTCTTAGGGCTAGACATTATTCCCTCTTGACGAGTGTTTAAGTGTCATGGTGGCAGTTTCATAACAGTGTTAAACTTATAAGTACGTGGAAAAGGGGATTCCAGCCCATAATAAGTCTAATAAGTGTAGGCTGGGATGCATATGGGTTCGAGCAAGATGTTTGAAACTCTATACAACCCATTTCTTAAGGCCGCGGGGGGACACTGATTGAGGTATTTATGACTGTATATTACCTGCAGTACGAGGTTGTAACGACTCATCTCTCAAACCTCTCAATCTTCTTCCCTCCCTGTGGCCCCCTTGGAGATAATAAGCCAACATCTCATACAAAAGGGGCCTAGAAGAAAACTTTGTCCATTAGAGTGATCATATGTAAAAATGATAAAATGTAAAATAACATTCATGTAGGAAAAGGAGAAAAAAGTGGGAGAAAGAAAGATGGATTGATTCTTCCTGGAATCTCAACACAGGTATAAGTATGTGGTCCAGCAGGGTCCCATTGTAACTTGCCTTTGGCTTTGGGCAACTAGAAAATCTCAGTTTTTGCATTAAACTGGAAACATGGGACACTCTGAGGATTTTATTAGGGTAGTATTGAGCTTAATAAGTAGTTTCTTAGAAATCGATTTTGAGATAAATATTAGCGATAAAAAATCACGACGTTTCGACCTCTCCGAGGTCATTTTCAAGTGTATAAAAGTTCTCTAAATTAGCATAAATAAGTTAAAAACAAGTTATAATAGATAAAAATGTGGTGAACGCTAAAATGTGGTAAAATATGTAAAAATGTAAAAAGTGCTAAAAATATCCAGACGACCTTGTGCAGTCAACCATTCGCCAATTCATTGAATCCAAAGTGTCCGAGGATTCACACACCCAAGTGGCTGATAAAAGAGAAGCCCCAATCAGAATCGTGTTGCCCTTCAAAGACCAGAAATCAGCAAACGTAGTACGTAAACAGCTGGCTGACCTGAGTAGGAAGATCAACGCAGACATCAGCCCAGTTTACACAAGTAGGAAGATCAAAGATGAAATTAAGGTCAAGGAAGACAAGCCGCCTCTTGTGAGTCAACAATGCGTGGTGTATTCTTTCCAGTGTAGCCTGTGTGATGCAGGCTATGTCGGCTACAC